GAGAGAGAGAGAGAGACATCGATTGGTTGCCTCCCACACATGCTCCAACCAGGGCCTGGGATCCAGCCTGCAACTGAGGTACATGCCCTTGACTGGAATCCAACCCGAGACCCTTCAGTCTGCTGGCCGACATTCTAACCACTGAGCCAAACTGGCTAGGGCTCTAATAATATATTTTAATAGTTTCTGCTAAGAAAATTAACTCAGTTAATCCTCCATTAAGGAAATCAAAAGCTACTATCTACTTTGCTCATGAAAATCAAGCACTTGGAAATGGTACCTTAGACTATTCTGAAAATAAAGCAAAATGAATATAGTATTCAGCAGTCATACACTGTCTCTGAATATAGTTATTTACATACCTGAATAATAAAGTAGCTCCATAGCATATCTTACAAATGATCACAATTACGTATTTTGGATTTTGTCGGCTACAAGTTTTTATTGAAAAAGGCCTTAATGTTTTCTGGAGATTTTATTTTTCACAAACTTAAATCAATATTCTGCTTGCTTATTACCAAGTCCTATAACTTTTTTCATCAATACTAACTATACCTATATTTAGATATTACATACAGATATTAACTATAATACCTATCAAATTATTAAAAACTCTTGATGGATGAGAAATATTCTTCAATTTAGATCTGTACCCTTCCAAAACAAAATTCAATTTCTAGCCATTCTAAAATGTCCAGAAAAATCCTAATGACATTTTTTTCATTGAATTTTACACTGAAATATTTTTCATCATTCATCAGTTAAAACATGTTTAAAATCTTTAAAAGCATTATGAAAACATCTTTACTGAATTTATGCATTCTACTTATCACCACTGTCATATAAGGAAACCAAGGCACAAAGGTGTCCATTTTATAAATTGCAAGGTCATTTCCTAACCAAGCAACCGATCCTACACCATCAAATTATATGTGCGCCACTTTTGAGTGCCATAAAACAATTACTGTACCTTAAAACTACTACCCCTGCAATGCCTATGTGCAATTTCATTTTACCAAGAGGGTTATGGCAACAAGCTTAAACAAGAAAAGCTGGAAAGGGAGGATTACAAAAACAAAAAGAAAACACTTACTTTTGGTAGTGAATCATTTATTTTAATATAATATGTAAACAGTTTTTAACATAGTATCAAGTAACTAACAGTTGTTTCTTCCATTTTCAAAAAATAATTCACCTTTCAGGTACGTCATGAAAAATTGGAGCCTACTCATCCTTGTTGACAAAAGTTAGGAAAATGAGAAAAAATCTGTAACAAGTAATTCAATGATACTGAAAAATAGTGATATTGCAAAAAAAAGAACTGAATAAAAACTAAAACTTAGTTAAATTAGTGAATGCTCGTTATGGTAGTTAAAACTCCACCTTAAATATTAAATGCTTCTTTTCGTTCAAATGAAGACTATGAGCATCCAACATTCTGTTACTAGAAATAAAAACAAAACTTTTCTTATTGAAAACTTGAGAAATTTTATATCATGTACTTTATTCAAATATTGGACATATACTTTCCCTAACTTGAAATTACAGCACGAGAGAAGCTGTTCCAGAGAGTTCAAAGATTGAAACTGCATTTGTAATTCTGATATAGTTCCATCAACAATTAGAAAAATTAAAGTTACCTACCATACAAATTAAATTTAAGAACACTAGATGAGGTGAATAACCCATAAATCAATTACATCAGTTACTGGGCAGGAGTAAGACTTGGCTAATACGTGAATCTACCACCAAGGAAAAAACTAAAATACAATCCAAGGATAGGATTAGATCGAGTCGTATTAAAGTACCCGGCCTAGCTGGAGACTAGTTAACTAATCGGCTATAGGACAGGCTGTGAATGTTCAGGTCAGATGTGCTTTCTGTTCATCATGATTCCAGTTCAGCAGCAGCAAGTGCAAGAGAAGGCGTCAGAGTGCCGAAGCTAGGGGGCATGCTGTAGCAAGGGGAAAAGACAAACGGGAAAGGTGCAATGGATGCTGCATAGTTGAATAATTATCTGGGTGGCACAATGGGCGAGTCCTGCCGACATCGGAGCCGAGTGAGCGGCTCCCTAACTCTCCAGAAGGCTACCCCCATTAACAGGCATCAGATGCGACAGCCACGCTTCCTCGCCCGCTCTTCAAGCGAAGAAAGGGATCCCCGCGCCCGCTCCGCCGTTAGGTCCTTAGACCCAGACCCGCGGCGCAAACACGCAAACGCGAAGCTTCCCTCACGGAGCCCCGGGCACGTAGCACTAGCAGGGGCTTCTCCGCCGCCGGGCGCTGCAGCCTCCCCGGAGCCAGGAGGCACGGGGGCGGCCCTGGGGTGCAGGGCAGGGGCGCTCAGGCGGTGGCACCTCAGGTGAGACCCGCAGTCTCCCAGCTTAGAGCAGCCTCCGGCCGGTCCCTGCAACCGAAACCCCGACGCGCCGGCCGGCCGCCGGCCCCCTCGGCACCCAGCCCGGCTGGCGGGTGGGCGTCGGGAGACCGGGAACCGCGAATGGGGGTGGGGGCCGTTGCGGGGGAGACGCGCCCATCCCCGTCACCTTTGCTGGACTAGAGCTCCACGCACACACCTCTCCGTTCTGGCCGGTGAGGAAGAGTTCCTCCCCAGCACCCTCTCCCCCCAAAAGACAATCCTGAGAGACTCGCGCTCACCGAGAAATCTTGGGGGCTCTTGCTTTACCCCTACTTCATGCCTCGGCGGCGGCCGCCGGTCCTCTTCAGCTCCCGGGACTCCCCCTAGAGCCTGCAGGAGAATCAGGCTCCCGGGTGCAACCCCCTCCGAGCAGCGGCCGACGCACCGGGCCACAGGGAACGCCGCCAGCAGCGCCCGCCGCTCGTCGGACCCACAGTGTGCTCGACGCGCGAGCGAACAACACCGAGAGCCGCCGCCGCCGCCCCCCACCTG